GTCTTAAAGGTAGACCGACAAAAACATCCTGTTGAATTCTAAGTGATAAAGAGAGGTTGGAAATTTTTATTATGACTAAACTTGGTAAATAAACCCACACAAATGTTATAAGTGGACATCTGGGGGAAAAATAAAGTACAAGAAAAATGTAGGATGTGGGCCCTTTAAATTTCATCAATACTGATTTCACAATGATGTCAGCAATACAAATGGTTTAGTTCAGCAGCCACACTAAAAGTTACTGCCTGTGCTGACGTTGTGAAACTCTGTGTGTGTCCAGATGCACATTTTGACTGACCTGTTTTGTGTCTTGGTGCCGTGTAGAGGGTAGTAGCAGAGAGCCAGGACAGTGAGCGTGGTCTCCATGCTGTTGCTGAGGGTGCGGGTGCAGCAGTACCAGGTGAACCACGAGCACAGCTGACAGAAGTACTGGAGACACAAACGGAACAAATAAAAGCAAAAAAACAATTCAGTACAGTGGAATTACAAGGATGTTTTGGACATATTCTTGAATGTGGGTAGCAGATTTCATGAGTGTATGACTGCAACTGTTAAAAACAGATAAAAGGACGACAGGCCATGCAATCGGTTACAACACCACATACGATAGCATGCAAAAATGTGTCCGGCTCTGGTCAAATGACATGTTTTGTTGATTTTCTAAGTGAACATAAGCAAAACATGTAACTTCACCAGGGATGTTCAAACGTTTGCATATGACTGCATCAACAACCTTCCTGGTCACTGCTCAGCTCATTTGCATAAACTTTCGCCAGTTCTTCTCTTGCCACATTACAGCATGTTACGACATGTTCTGTTATGTGATATACAGCACATGATTAAAACACCTTTCTGGACATATTCCAACACTTGACCACTGGAAGGCCACAGTAAGCGTAGTTTAGCCAACATAGTGATATTAGCAAATGAGCTGAATAACAGTCAGATAATATATCGTCATATCACCCAGGTCTATTCTGAACCATGCAGTGCAGGGATCCTTATAAAGAATGGCCAGATTTTACTCACATCAAAAAGAAACATAAAATTCTCTTACCGTCCATTTGGCTACATCTGGACTCTCCCACTTCCGAATGAGGTCATAGAGCTTTGCGTCAGCAAACGCTGCAAGAAGCGCTTGCAGAACTCGAGGTAGCAGGATCTGCAAAGCGTAAATGTGTGCAAATTAAGGCTGTCCATCGTTACCATCGTTATAGTTCACATATAGAAGCTAAGCTGCAAAACAGCCTGTTTTGAATTCTGTTTCTGTGATGTCACAAAAAAACCGCACATTTACATATATCAGCTATAGCAGTTTAGCTCCACCCATTCACACTGACGTTATAAGGAGTGTTTCAGCCCGGACTTCATTTTGAAATATGTCCAGTTCAGGGCAGCCAATCAGAACAGAGCTCATTTACATAGATCAGTCTTAAAGGCACATAAACAGCCTGTTTAATTCTATAGTTTAATAAGATATAGTCATTTAAAAATGAATTACAACCACATAAATGCTATAAGTGAAGCGCAAGAGGAAAAAATAAACTAGCAGAAAAACAGGATATTGGCCCTTTAAAAATATTTACTGTCTCAGTGATTAGGGGGCAGTTTGTATAGTGCATATTTTAAATTCTCCTACTGATCTCTTACAGCAAGAAACAGCCTCATGGACACATTTATGTGCATTTTTTTGCTATTGTTTTTAATGAAGTCTTCCTAGAGCTTTACTTGTATTGTTTTGAAATAAACAATAGTTTACTTGCCTACCAATATAACTGATAGTGACAGCCCTGCTGCTAATGCATGTGTCTGTATTGGTGCGATATGCTGAGGACCACTTACCAACAGCTGAACCGTATCATAATGCAGCAGGTCCAGAATCTTGTACAGTAAAGCAAAGAGGAGCGGGTAGGAGTAACCTCGGATACCCTCCTTCCACTCCCAGGTTTCATAGCCATACTTAAGAACACAAGTCAAGGGTTTAAAGACATAGAAAAGAAAAAGTGTTCAAAGCTACATGTCTGTCAATTACATGCTAATGATAGTAGCCTAACATGGCTAAAGATTCCTTAGGAAACAATTCAATGCATCATGACATCTTAAATTTCAACGTGATGCACTTTTTATTATTTTGACATGATTCATAATTATTTTATATGCTAACAATTATGCTAGATACAAAAACTATTTACAGAGTAAAGGAATATATGGAGAATAAAAACAGCCCAGATGTGGGCCACATCATTGGTTTGTTCTGGTTCAGTATACGACTGGGTCCTCAGCCCAGATCTGGCCCACACACTGTAAAGTGAATAGGACTAAAGGATATGGCCCAAATCTGGTCCCAATCTGGCCCAACTACATTGTTGGTCCACAATATTTACACCAGAATTGTACCACAAATGTAGACACAAGGCAAAATGGTATGAAGTTGTCCAGGATCTGGCCCTATTCTGGCCCGCATGCCAAACATCTACCTGGTTGTCAATCAACATTCACATTGGAAAGCCAGAATCGGCCCAAACCTGTCTGCTGTCTGGGAATACACCAAGCTTTTTTCCTGAAGTTTCATGTGTTTAAGCTAAAAAACGTGCACACACTTTATTATAAACTATACTACTGTTATTATACTTGATTCTAATTGATTTTGGCATTTCAAAACAAAATGAATGCAGCTGAATCATTAATGCATCACTATGCAGCCATACATTTACATTACTAGCAAAAGAGTTTTTATGTAAAAAATATCACAATGTAGTTACGAAAAATTAATATGACTTAGATACGATATGCATGTTACAAGGCGTGCAGTGAGCCAGCAGCTGAGAGGATATTTGAAGACCATTCGATGGGAGACTTCCAGGGACTGCCAGTATTCATCTGGGACAAAGCTGGTCTGGACCAGGAAGCAGTTAATGAGGCGAAATATCACAGAGAAAACCGTTACGCTGACCCCGAAGAAACCTGTGATGATAAAAAACAGTGACTTCTGCTATTTACTACTAAAGTAATTCTGCAGCAGGTGTCACACACTGCTATATACTGCTTATGCCAACAGATAAGCCTGTTCAATAGGAGGAGAGGTAAAGGACATTAGTATTGAACATTATTCCAGGAGCATTCTGGCCTTAAACTAACATTTAATAAGGTATTTGTTATGTTATGTAATATTCTGCAGTGCAGAGCTGCGCTTGTCGGCTTCTTCGTTTAGACAGACTTCACCACTTTGTATCTGTTTTTGGTTTTTCTGTCCATCCGTGTTCTCTCACTACGATACCCAGCATGCATTATGCAAATACATCATATATCAGTGGCTATCAGTCAGGATTTACTGAGCGCTGAGATGATTGTAAACTGAAAAAAAGTGCTCTGACTTTATTTAATTCAAATTAAATATGTTGGTTCCACATGAATAAAATTACATCAACTCAACTCTCACCAAAAAGTGAGTAAATTGAAAGAAAACCCTTAATGTAACGTTTCATTCATGTGGAACCGATATAGAAATTTGAATTAAGTAAAGTCAGACTTTTTTCAGCGTACAATCATCAGGAATCCTTAGAGCACTCAACAAATCTTGACTGCGAGCCACTGAGCTAGAGGCTAACAAATATATCTGTGATGCTAGCTAGCATTAGTGACATAGGTTATATATTATCTTCATTTTTTTTACTTGTTAAATGACTGATTCAGCCCGGGAAAACAAATCAAACAGTCTGTCTGTATTGAAGTCCTTCAAAATCACTTCAACCTTCAAGATACGTTATTACAAAGGGTTTTCACAGTTTTTAAACCAGGAAATCTCAATTTAGACTAGAGACGACTGCAGGACCTGTTTAAGAGGTAAGTAGGCATGTTTACAGAAGATGTAGTGATGGTTAGATTTTTCATTTTGGCCAGTGCCCACTTATGGAGCCCCTAAGGTGTCATGGTGATTATTTTTTTAAATAAGATGTGGCCACAAATTACTACACTGAGGTCACAAATTAATGTACAGAGGCCACAAATGACTATATTGAGGTCACAAATTTATATAGTGAGGCCGCAAATTACTATATTGAGACCACAAATTATTTAGGCCACAAATTAATATACTGAGGCCACAAATGACTATTTTGCGGTCACAAGTTAATATACTGAGGCCACAAATTACTATACTTAGGCCACAAATTAGTATACTGAGGCCACGATCGACTTTTTGAGGTCACAAATGAATATACTGAGGCCACAAATTAATATATTTAGCCCACAATATATGAGAAATTTAACTCAATATAATAATCTGTGGCCTCAATATATAAATTCGTGGCCACGCGTTATTAAAACCTCATTTTGTTTCAGAGTTGTGCAGGTCACTGGAGTCCTGCTCTGTTCGCTCTGCTCTGCTGTACAGTGTGTGCGAGTCTCACCGCGCTCCCGCCACCCTGCAGGGTTTTTACTGTACAGTTTAGATTTCCGTGTCCGCAGCTTTACAGGCTCAGCTGAGCCGGACACACCGAACGGAACACGAGCACGGATCCTCTCCATCACTGCGGGCAGCTTCAACAATTACCATACTGTAAAAATCAACCGCAAATTTCACAGATAAACAGCGCTGCTCCGCGAGCAGTGAATGAAAACACCGCAACACAGCACTGCACTTCCGCGTTTGAGTCGTGACGTCACGCAGGGCGTAGTGGACTTAAAAATATTTTAAAAACTTAATAAAAAAAAACACAAACAAATAAATTAGAATAAATCATAATAATTATTATAGATTTAAATTGTATATACGTCAAAACATCTAAAAAATATTTTTGATGTTTTGAAAACTTGTATATAAATCAAGGAAGCGGCAAGTATGTACAAATATTCTCTCATAGATATATAAGAGTGTTGGGAATTAGAGGTTATAAGCTAATACGCTAATGTTAAACATTTCTGTGATATAGATTTTTTTTCCCTTTCTAAACAACATGAATGAAGTTTGTCCCCTCCGTCCTGCCGTACGGCAGCGCGACCTTTCCGTCCTGTCATGGCAGCGCTGTGAGAGGAGAGAGAGGAGCAGCAGCGCTGATTAAACCTGATTATTTATTAGAATAATTTCTGTCCGACGCTGTTATTAATGTAGTTAGTCAGAAGGTCAGACTCTGCTGTGTTTATTAGTTTCAGAGCCTCGTCTTTTGCAGCTACAGCGGCGGTTTTGTTGCCTTGAACGCAGTGAATGTGGGTAAGTAAGAGTGAAAGAGCTCAATAAACCTCCGGGCTAATTAAAGGAGAAGTCCAGGGTTTCTTTCACATAAAAATGATTCACGTTTGGGTTTATTAGTACGGAGCCCCGGAGGGGGCGGAGGTAAAAAATTAATAATTAATTCGAGTGAAAGTTTTACAGTTCGTATGCACGTTTTCCTTTATTCGTGGTCACGATTTTCTAATTCGTTCTCTCCTTTTCTTTTAATTGTCGTCATGCTTTATTTTAACTGAACGCAGGTTGTTTATTTTTTTATTCGTGCGCAAAATCAGTGTTGTAGATGCAGGTCGTGTTATTTGTCCTGTGCAGGAGTAACTAACAGCTCCCTGAGACGGTCTGATGGGTTTTGATGAGTTAGATTGATGAGATAATGAACAGAGATGCTCATCAGGTCTGATTCTGATTTGGGGGGTTATGAGGAAACTGCAGCTCCTTTTCACAGCAAACGGCCCTCAGATTCATCAGTGGAGCTGCAGTTTGGTGGTGAAATGAAGGAAGACAATAAACTACAACCACAATCTTCACTAAACTGCACTGTCTAATGATCATATTTAACAGAGAGAGAGGCGCTTAGCGCTGTTTCTGCTCCCCGGCAAGCTGCGGTGTTAGAGACCATCACACAATTACAGGAAGAAATGATCAGCGTCAACTTTTCAACAAACTCAAATTAAACACACACAGAAACATTCATGTGGGATGGGGTCAAATAGCGAGAGTTTAATAGATCTATGGATTAGATGTAGATATATTAATGTGAGGGTGTTGAAACGCTGATCGTTTCTTCATGTAATTGTGTGACGGTCCCTAACATCGCAGCTTGACCGGGAGCAGAAACACCGTGGGCCGTTTGCTGTGAAGAGGAGCTGCAGTTTCCTCATAACCCCCCAAATCAGAATCAGACCTGATGAGCATCTCTGTTCATTATCTCATCAGTCTAACACATCAAAACCTGTCAGAGAGTCTCAGGGAGCTGTTATCAAAACACAAACAGCCTGCATTCAGTTAAAAATAAAACATGACCACGGTTAAAAGAAAACGAGGGAACGAATTAGAAAATCGTGACCACGAATAAAAAAACGAACCCACGAAGTAAAGAAAACGTGCGCACGATTAAAAGAAATAAAATACATCACCATAAGTCACATATATCGCGGATATTGTCAGTGCTTAAAAAATACCAACTCTGTGTTTGATTACAAAGTGTTTAATTGGATTTAATGCAGCAAAGTGTGTGAAATGTTGAATACAAGTGATTGAATTCATAGTTTTGGATAGTATTTTAAAAAGGTGAGCTTGCTTTGTCTGAAAGATTTTTCTGAAAGACTCCCATTCATTTAAAGGAGAATTCCACTGATGTTTCAAAATTTCTTCATAATGAAACTGTTTACATAAAAAGTCGTACAGAGTTGTTTGATGTGCAGTACTGTTCTAGAGAAACCTAGTCAGAATTGTTCACAGTGGTGCTGATAGGAACCAGATGTCCATCTGTAAAAGCTACTTCACAGAAAGTTATTACATTAAATGGTTTCAAACGCACTTCCTGATGCCTCAGACATGGTTTTGCAATAGTTTAGAGAAGCTCCTGGCCTAAAACGTATTTATTATAATCCATGGTGGAGAGGAACATGCAGGACGTTGTGATTTACCATTATTATCATTACATGTAAAAACTCAGAAGACACATGAAGGTTCACTGGCGGTTTTGGATAATAAATAAAATGGCTATATTTCTGTTGTCATTGTGACAGCTGGTTCCTATCAGAATCAGAATCAAGCTTTATTGGCCAGGTTTGCTTACGCATACAAGGAATTTGATTTTGGTTACAGGAGCTCACAGTGCACAGTACCAGACAGACATTTACATGTAGTGAATAAAATAGAATAAATATAAAATATAACAAAATAAAATAAAATAAAACCTGCATTCCTACCTGTAAACCTTACATTGTGCAAAGTATCACCACCACTGTAAAGAAATCAGAGTCTATACATTTCTTTACGGTGAGCTATTTCACATCGGAACACTCTGAATGGCTTTTTATATCTTATTGAGAAAATTAGGCTTTCCTCCCTTGTAAGAGTGAATTTTTTCAAATGTACCATTCAATTAAATCAAACAAACAACGAAATCATTTTACTGAAATGTAAAAACTGGAAAAAACATGTTTTTTAGGGAAAATTGTTGGTTTATTTCTTTACAGCAAGAATAGAAAGAGGCCTTTTTTGGTTTGGTGGATCGCTAGTTGTTTTCTCACAAGTTCTCTTTATTAACTACTTGTAGCGCAATAGTGGTTGCAACTCTTGGAACTGAGGAACTGACGTTTGTCCTCAGTTGAAAGCTTTTAGTTGAATTCTCTTAATCAACACATTTCTCCTCTCAGCAGTGCGCTTGGGACTGAACCAGAGAAGATTCTGTTATGCAACGAGGAGCTTCATAGAAACTTGTCATCATGCTTCCAAGGCGGATACCATTCAATCAGATTGCTTTTGCAACGCTGATCGGGGTGGGAGGGGGCATCTACATCTACAAACCCATGTTTGAGCCTCCCAGAAAACCAACAAGTGCCCCAGATAACCAGGATGTCCAAACAGAAAAGAATGGACAGGATGCTGGTGGACGAGAGAATATGGCCAGACAAGTAGCTGGTGCAGCAAATTCAGGAGCAGCTGCAGAAAAATGAGGAAAACACAGTTCCTGATAACTGATAATCATCATCATAACATGATTACGTTGATTAAATGTATGTGTACATGACAATTGTGTCCAGTGTTTCTGAATAAAAGCCTTATAGTTTTTATAAAAATGACCCTCTATTGATTTATGTAGCTTTTACAGAGCTCAGCCACAAGATGGCACTGTTATGTTGGCAAAAAAAGAGAAAAAAACTGAACTGATATTAATACTTTTTTTTAGCTTTAGCTATTTCAACCTTTCCCTGCTTACATCATATTCTATTAACATTTAATTCTATTAGAAGCACACAATGTTAATTGTACATCTTCACTACAAAAAACACAATTCTTTATGTATTTATGTATTCTTTATCTTTTTATGAACAGCTGTAATTTCCTTAATCAGAAAGTTTAGAGATATTCATGGATATTTTTGTCCAGTTATTAAAGTCTTAAAGTCTATCTATGGTGTGGGTCTTTTCTGCCCAACATCCTGAAAGAGGGGAGGTGTAGCCGTTATATTTTTCCCACCTGTATTCCGCATCCTGTGCTAGGATTGGTCGGCAGTCTGGTACTCGCAAGCAGACCGCTTGAAGTAGCCAATCGCGGCGCAGGAGGACGCCCTTCGCTAGCCAATCGCAGCGAAGTAAGGCGGGACTGGTCGGAATACGGGTGGGAAAAGAAATAATGTTGAACGGGAAGTGCTGCGCTACTGCGTCAACTCAGAAAGACCTCCAGCCGTGTGGGCTTCAGTGTAGGCTGTGCTGAAGCTTCAGGAAAAGTTCTGCTAGCCAGAAAGTGTCCTAAAGTTCCTCGTTAATACTTAACATATAATTCCGAACAGCTCTGGTTTGGTTTTATACAGGAAAACAGCGTTTTCTTCTTCAGTAATATCGACTAATTGACTAATTGAAGCTCAGGTAGTCGCCTGGTAAGTTCATTTCTTCTAAACTTGATGCTATGAAGGCTTAAGGTCGTCCGTTGGTGCGGTTCCGTGCTGCTGTGATGGGTTAAACATCTCGGCTACATTGTTTTGGTTCACTTTAAGGCCGTAAGACTTTTTTCTGAGGTGATATTTCAGGCCACACTCTCGCCAGCTTCTCGTTCGAATATTCTCGTTTCATAGTTACATTCAAGCTGCACCATTTAAGGTGGAACGGGAAAATTTGAACGAGAAGGAGGCGAATAGGAAGCCAACTTCCAGACCTTTGTTGCACATGGCTGTAATGATGGATTAATGTTCAGTCATGTGCAGTAATTGGCAAAACTGAGGTACTTTACAGTAGAGAGCTTTGTGCTGTTCTTGTACAGGTGTGTGTCCCTTCATGTGTCATCAGACACGTGGCTTTCTCAAGTTTTAGGTCTTACCGTATGTTAGAACATTTTAAAGAGAGAATCCACCGATTTTCCAAAAAAATCGGCTTATTTGAACCATTAAGAACTAATTTGTAAATATAGTCATTCAGAGTGGTTTGGTGTTGAAAACTCTGCTCTAGAGAAACTACAGTCAGAATGGTTCACAGTGGTGGTGATAGGAACCAGACGTCCAAAGCTACCTTACATAGTCCTACAGCTACTACATGAAATCAGTTTGGCCTAAGTTAAAAAAGGCCTAAACTGTATTTATAAACCATTCATACATGCAAAGATATGTGCATGGAGTTATAAGGCAAAATAGTCCAAAAAGAAAACTTACATTACATATGAAAAGACACATGTAGGTCCACTTGTGGTTTTGGATAGTAAATGAAATGGTTATATTTTGAGTTCTAGATGTTGCGACCCCTGGTTCCTATCGCCACCACTGTAATCGGAGTCTCTACAATGAACCATTTCACACCACACTGCTCTGTTTTCATCTCAACCACTGATTTATGCAGAAATGTTGAAACATTGGTGGAGTTCCCCTTTATTAGAGCTTTGCTTTTATTTACATGATGCAAATAGGCCCTATGGCTCTGGACCTATACTTTTATTTCATTCTGGCCTCTTCTAATATGAGCTCAGGCTTGTATCCCAAGATATTCAGTTATGTGCAAAAGTTTAGGTGCCCCAGGTCAACTGACACATTGATTTTCTAAGTGGAAAAAAAGTGAACACGACCTCTACAGTGAATGCAGTGCACATTTTAATGCACAGTAACTATTCATTTGCTGAATTTAACATGTTGGGGGGAAAAATAAAACATAAAATGTGTAAAAGTTATGACACATTTTATGTTTTTTTTTCAATATGTTAAAATCTGGCGCTAAAATGCCGTCTTTCTTACAAAGTTTCAAAACATGCATTTTCACCAGGGGTGTTAACACCTTTGCATACGACTGTAGGCCTCATAATCCTCATGCTGGAGAATGAAGATTAGACCTAGATTGTCACACGCAGCATAAGGAAATGTGTAAGTCTTCCTCTGTTAGCTAAGTGTTCAGAACGAAAAGGAACTTGTTTTATATGTGTAATTGTATGGTTTCTTCTTTCCTGTCTAACACAGGCAGAACAGTGTGAAAAAAATGTTCTGCTGGATAGACATACTTTAGTTTTATTTGATATAATTTGACAAATATTTAGTATAACAGTAACAATTTAATGTAATTTGATAGTGTAATTTGAGTACTTCAAATAATAGTCAATTTATTAGATGTTCATATTTTCATATATGTATTATACATTAAAATATAATGCTGCCATGAACAGAACTTTGACTCTCCACTTTCGTAGGTTTTTTCATTTTATTTGAAAGCGCCAGATGTTTCATGGTGATGAATGTTTGTTTTCCTACTCTTGTAAAGTTATTATTGAAGAGATATGAGGTTTTCTTCCAACAGCGGTGATATAATAAAAAAGTAAGCTCTTTTAAAAATATATATATTTACACAGTACTGTACTTGTGTGATGGCCAGTTACATGTAGATTTATGGGCGAGACTAATACTTTTGGACTTACAGGGAAAATATCAAACTAAACCAGCATCTTCCTTCAGCTTTAAAGCTGTACAGTGTGATATTTATCCATATCAGCAGCTAATACAGTGTAAATTAGAAAGATTTTCTCTGAGGTTTCCTCTTGTCCTGCATTCTGCAGGGTAGGGTCTGGTAGGGCTGGGCAATATGACAACATTTATCGTTATCGTAATAAATTATATCACAATATTCTTTTCTGGGCATATGGTGGATATTGTCTGTACTGAAAAACACTCCCAACTGAATGTTTGATTAAAGAGAGCATAATTAGTCCTGTTTAACTGGATTTATTGCAGCTCAGTGTGTAAAATGTTGAATGAAAATCATGGGCCTCATTCACCAATATGTTCCTGATTTTTTTCTTAACATGTGTTCTTGAGAAAAAGTCTACGTCAGATTCATGACGTGTTCTTAGTGCAGAACTGTTCACGCCTTTGTGCTCTCGAGTGTGCAGATTCTGTTCTTACCTAAGAACAAATTCCAAATAAGAAAACACGCGAAAACTGTGTAAGTGGGTTTTGTACAAAGAAATGTCTTCTTAAGAATATCTTTATAATTTTTAATAGTGTTTTTTCAAACGTTGTCTGTTCCAACATATCAGATGCCAGAAAAAATAAACAGCATGACGCCTTGTGTATCGTGAAAACGTCTTGAAGTATCGTGATGTTGCACTTTTGCAGTATTGTCTGGCTGTAGGTCCGAAGTTGGGGTGGACTGTTTTAACTTTATTTAAGATTCTTTAGGCAGTTATTTAGTGCTTCAGTGCATTACAAATCTCGAAATTTCACCACAATTTCATTTTATTAAATTAGTACAATTCAGTTTTTTGTTTTTTTTTCAAAAATACACTGAATACACTAACAAGAATGGATAAACTATTTACCCCACAGTGGAATATAGACAATAGAACCAATATTTTTACCTTTCAAAATAGACATTTGTTACATTTTAGGCAAAAAAATGAGCTCATACTTTATCAAACGTTTTCCTGGTGCTGGAGAATTGGAGCTGGTGTGGTGTGTTTTCAGCACGTGTGGCTCTTCAGCTGGGTCAAGAATTGGTGGTCACATGACAGAGTGCCCAGAGCACATGAGGACCAGCTGAGGGATATTAGATGAGGATGGTTTATGTGCCAGAACTGAGGCTGACTCACTGCGTCCATATTATCCCTACTTGAGCAAACCACACTCTGAAATGCCTGCTTGTAAGATTGTTAGTGGATGTTGGTGAATGTTGCACTGACTTGTGGTCAGTTTTAAATGTCCTGTTGGCCAGCTTCTTTCTCACACCGCTGGTCAACAAGTGTCTACAAGTGTCTTCTATTTATCCCCTGAGAACTTGCAAATTATGTAATTGAATGATTTTGTTTTTGTGCATTTTGCAGGACGTTAAAGGGAACCTGTTGGTTTGAAGCTGCCAAAAACAAAGTAGCTCTGTTTAAAAGAACAGACAAGATGAGCAGACCATTATAATCTGATTACTGAATTAAAGTTCACCTTTAAGTCATGTATTACTGTGTTTCTCATGGTTACAGTTAAAGGGGAATTCCACCAATTTTTCAACATTTCTGCATGATTAAACGGTTAAGACTTAAACAAAGTCATTCAGAGTGGTTTGATGTGAAATGATCTGTTGTAGAGAAGAACTGTTCACAGTGATGGTGATAGGAACCAGACGTCTGAAGAGTTGAATGCCTCTAAAAGTTACCCCAAGCTGCCTGATGTCTGAGATTTTTTGATAGTTTTGAGAAGGTTTTGACCTAAAGTGTATCTTTAAAATCTATTCATGGTGGAGAGAGACATGCAGGGTGTTGTGAGGCAAAATAGTCCCCAAAGAAAATGTAATTTTTCAGATTTTCATCATCAATATTCCATGTAAACACTCAGAAGACATGTGTCGGTTCACTGGTGGTTTTGCATAGTAAATAAAATGGCTATGTTTGTGTTGTAAACATTCCCCTGGTTCCTATCAAAATTGGTGAATTGGTGAATATTCTATTATACTTTTGTCCCTACATATTTGCTGATATACTATAATGGCCAACATGTCCATGGCATCCCATTCTCTGGTAGTCTACTGCATAAGACAGACACCCTTTGTACTGGACCTTATCTGTATCTTTTTTTTTCTTTAGCTTTGTCTAGCTGATTCAGGCAGACAGGATCATGTTGTTTAGCATAGTTTGGAATTTCCTGATGGTTGTAGGAAGGCATTTCACTCTTATAGGCATTTATGGTGGTTCAGATCTAACACTGCCCTCAAAAAAGGGAAGTAGACTCATCAAGAAAAGTTCAACCTGTCATGACTTGAGTGTGTTTGTATCTTCGCTGTGCTGTGCGTCACACCCAGTTTGGCTGCGTGTGCCTCTGGCTTTGTTTAAGTTCAGCGGGATCTGCATATCCGCCTGCCTGCTGGCCAGGCCTGTCCATTAGTGTTGGAGCGTTGCCCAGGCTGCTAGCCGCTCCACCCTCTCTGCCAGCCCCTCTGCTAGGAAAGTATACAGGAAAAAACCCTCAGGCTCCTCCAGGAATCCCTTCATTTAACAGAAGACAATATGACGATATGTTAGTGTGATAAATTATGTATCTTTTCTGAGCGTATCATATTGTTATTGATATCATTTTGATATTGTGGTGGCCTAAGAAACACAGACTGACTGCATCTTTCATTACAAAGAGAGCATAATTAGTCTTGTTTAACTGGATTTAGTGCAGCGCAGCAGGTGAAACGGTGAATGTAAAACATTATACTGCATTTATCAGACCTCAAAAAAGAAGTTTACATCAAGTGCTGTGAAAATGTCATCCCGTTTTATTAGTTGAATGTGACTATTAAAGTATAACCAGAGAACGGCTTATTAATACGAGCGTAGACATGCTGCACGAAGCTAGTAACGCTAGCGTGCACAAAGAATTGAAGCCAATAGAGCAAGATATCAGTGTTCTTTATGAAGAGGTTTTTTTTGTGATATATT